AATAATGGCTATAATAATAGTGCTCACTTCAGAAATTTATAATATTTTTTACTTTTAATATACGATAATTTACGCGAAAAATTAAATATCGACAATTTTGTAAAGTTTTGTCTGTCAACAATTATGTATTTATTGTATATCTTTTAAACAAATATCTTCCTTATTAAAAAGCTACAAGAAACATGGAAACATTACTATATATATAAAATCACAAACAAGATAGTGAATGTTCCATTTTATTTAAGTTTTATAGACGAATTTATTACAGACACCCCTAGTGGAAATTAATTAAAGGAGTCCGAATGAAAATGAGTCAACTGTAATACCAAATACTGCTAAGATCCTAGCCCAACACCATGGTAAATCGGTTACGTCGAGAACGATATTAAAATGGTAAGAAAACCACCGAGATCACTGGGTGAAGTACTCTGAATAGGGACAATCTCCTCCACGGTACCATAACCCCTTCTCTTTCCCAAAATATTACTGGTTTTGCATAAAAGAATTCGGAAAAATCCTTTTTTGCCATTCATTTGCAAAATATTAGTTCTTTGATCGTTATGAAAAACAAACAACAAAAACATCTTTAAGAACGATCGAAGCGGAAATTTAAAACTGAAAGTAAAGATCGAGTTAAACGTAAAACTAAACTACATTTATATTATAATTCTCTCTGGGATGGTAATGTATCGATATATCGTATATGTATCGATCGAATGTATCGTATATGTATCGATATTTCACACATTCCCTATTATAAAAACGCGACTAGACGTGTCATTATATGGGACTCTGTATCGCGAGTTCTGAAATACCGACATCGAAAAATATCAGTATTTTTCATGCTCCTTAAAATTCATAATGCTGCGACGCGTCGATTGTAATTATCTGAAAAGGCTACTCGCTAATGAAAACAAAAAAAATGATAATAAAGAGGAAACTTCCGCAAGTAAAGGTTGGATATTTTAATAATCAAAAGTAATCTATGCTCAATCTACCGAAACTCAAATATACCGAATGACAAAATCCGCAATCACTTAGTTGCAAACTCGATAGCTCAAAGCCAATATATACAAGAGCCCGGTGATTCCTTGAGTCGTGAGCCTGAACACAATTTATTCGATATAATTTATGACTAGTGCACCAGGAAACGAGCAATACTGTACACATTCACAGAAATTATAGATACGATGCAAGAGTACCGTGTGCACGGCGATGCAGATGCAGGGAGGGAAAATAATTTGGGCGAAGCGTTTCTTTAATGAGGAAATTTCAAACGAAAAAGTGTTTCGACGCGTAAGAGATCGTAGAAAATACGACAGTTTCAGTAGAAATCGTCGAACTTGAGCGAAAGTAAAGAGAAAAAGAATTTCCGCGATAAAGGAATCTATGCTTCAAGAAATTACAGATAATTCAAATGCTGCATTATGATCGCAACGTAGCCGATGTAGCAACATAAAACAAAAATGACTAATAGTCGAAGCTGTGCAATTATTTTCGCTCATTTCAATTTTTATATTATAGGAAATATGTATCATATACTAGTTGGCATTCGACTGTTCTAACATTACAATTAGGATATTTCCTAGATATAATAAGTACAAAAATATTATTGTTCCTATGTCGGAATATTTAAAATTAATTCGTTACATTTAAACATATAACAAGGAGAATTAGAAGTGTTTATGTGTAGAAATAATGTCGACTGTATGTAAAGGGGAAGTAGCCCCAGAGGTACCCAGTATAGTTGTGGCAGTCGTGTGAATCGAACAAGTCAATACGAAATCCGCAAGATTCGGTGTAAAGATTTCTTACATTTGTCCTTCTTTTGCAACAGATAACTACCCATGATCATTCGTGCATTTCTTAAATAATTATGAGTGAACTGGATTAAATAATTATGAGTGATTTCTTAAATAATTATGAGTGAACTGGATTCTACAAATTGAATTATTGAAAATCTATCGTGATTATATAATTGCGTAAAAATACTTATTTTTGGCAACATGTCCGAGCGTAGGACGGTAAGCAGTTAATATGATTATACAATATATATTTTTGAAATAAACAGTTAGAAATTAAATATCGCAGAGTAACAAATTCTAATTGAATGAGAATATAAAAAAAGGGTCCGTTTGAGATACATATTTTCAGCGAATTTAACTATTATTCTTTTATTTAAAAATAACAGAGACGAATCCATAGCAATTAAAGTTTTAATTCCTTCGACTCGATTAAAAGTTTTGGCACATAATGAAATGTATTAACATATCTTGTCGATAATACCAAAGAACCGTCCGAACCTTCGAGTATGATTCGATATTTAAAAGTCACAATAATCTTAAATTTTTGACCTTGCGTCTTGATCGATCGTGATCATTTAAAATTTTGAATCTTTCAGCCTGAATCAAACAGTCACGACAAACCAAAACATAAAGTTCAAAGCTTAAAACTGTTACCTCTTATAAATATCGAATCATACTCGAAGGTTCAAACGGGTTTTCGGTATTATCTATACGACGTGTTAATATATTTCATTATTTAGAAAAGATATTTAAGAAACATATACAAACCTCTGAAATTATCATTGATTTGGAGGACACACAAAGGAAATGATTTTAGAAGATGTCAAAAACATAAATAACCTTTAGCAAACGCCAGTGAAAAACTGAAGTACGTGTTGTATCTATAATAACATCAAATAACATCAAGCATATTTTAATGCTGTTGATAGAAATACCATAAATTGTATTTCTATTACGATAGGAGAAAGAATAAATGCTGAAATAAGGTTAATATTTAAATACTTCTAGATATCTTTTCCGTGGTTTGGTATTCGCTCATAAGTTTGATTACACTATCTAGTTAGAATGGAATTATGATATCTATTCATAACAAAGCTATCTGTTTTCCAGGCTCCCAGCAGTTTGCCTGAGGGCAGTGGTTTGGGTCGTGTCGTTTTATCACTGCAAGAAACAGCTCGTAGGCTGTGCAACCTAAAATTCCGGCGGCAATTCCTAGCATGTAGTATCGGTTAGTTTTCACTCTTGATAATACGTCAAGTACTTATCTGTAATTGTAATACGCAGAATGCAATTTCCTCCCCCCCCCCCCGGCGGAATTGATGATTCGTAGTGATGTTCCTAAATTATTTCTCACTTCTAATTACTTGCATACCATTGTTTAAAATTGCATTTCTATTCCATCCTACATTACGATAAACTTAACATTTCGTTTCGGATATTCATCGCACTGATGCTTTGTTATATCATAAACCAAGTGCGGACTTTTATATATTTATGAGAAATCTGAAAGCAAAAAAAATGTTCATTATTACACATTAATATACC